AAGTAAAGGATATTGATATCCCCCTTGATATCAAGGGGGACGTAGACACCCTTATGTTAGATGTATTTCCCACTAGTGGTCATGGTAGAAGACTCAAAGGATACCACTTTAGTGCCAGAAATAACCGATAGTCCAAAACACAGTTGCGCGATCCCAATTTGAGGTGTCCTCAGTTATTAACTGTACAATCAATAATAGCTGCATAATATCAGACTTCTTAGCTGTCTATCTGCTTGAGCCGGGCTGCTTTTTCTGCCACCATATCAAGTAACTCATAATTCACGATGAGTGCAAGTGTGTAAGGAAGAGGTATCTTTCTGATATATTCTGGAAACCTTAAGTTTGTTTGAATATTGGTAGAATTTAATACGTTGGTGGATTATGGCCTAACTATAACCTGGAGGTCTCGGAGTTTTTTTTCACGGTTTAAGGTTCACATGGTGTGGAGTGACATGGTTTGGATACAGAGAGCGTACCTATTGCATTACATGGTTTATATGTGGTTTAGGATCTTCTTTATCTTCTTCAGTATTTAAGGACTTCGTTTTTTATTTTCTATTATAGCACCATTTTGTTATTGGTTTTCTTTATTATTGTGTTGCATTTTTTAGATTTAAGCACTGCCTTTATTGTCTGTTATACGTTGTTTATTTTCCATTGAGGCATGCTACTAGCACAGTAGGGTTCTGGGTTTTTATTATCTGCACAACTGTTAAGATACCACAGACTTGGCAAATCCATGGTAAAATGTAAAGATGAAAAACTGAGTACCCCCAAAAAATGGAAGGTAGCTTGGCATACCCTCATTTTGCAATATATAATGACACTCTGTATCAAGTAGAGAAGGGGCTAGAGAAGGTTGTGGGGCAGCTGGGGGTTCCCCATTTGCACACAAGGATGGTGTTGTATTTGGCTTATTCTTATGTGTTTTATGGTAATTTAGGGGCAAAATGGATGACTCAGCAAATATCCTAAGGATATTTTGACAGGCCAAGTGACCCCTTTCATGTCAAAGGTAACCAGAGGGCTTTGTCTTTTTTTTAAAATTACTGATTTATGCACCTCCCCCAAATTGATGGGCTGCTAGAACATATCAATAGAACCCTGAAAAGTATGCAAAAAAAAAAGTGGTCAATAACAGTGTTAATTTTGTTGCCGAAAATGTTTCGTCGTCACCTGCATGTTTTCAGTGATAAAAAATAAAATAAAATTAGAATTATGTCAATTGACGAAAACTATGACAAAAATCAATTCCAATTTTCACCACTGAATGAAAACAGAATGAAAATGTGAGGGAGGGACATTTACCCACCTGAACTTTTGCTTTCCTCTGAGCTCTGCCTGTCTGTTAAAGCCCCACACCCCTGACTCTATCGGCAAGCTGTATTGGCTGAGGGACGTAGGCTCCTTTTGTCTCCCTGCTGCCTGGGAGTTCTGGAACAATTCCCTGCAAACCACAGAAAATGTGGAATTCCTCCATTGGATTCATGTCTGGATATGACGTGATGAGTGTTTCTCCTTGCAGCAAGATAGCAATACTTAGTACCTTGTAAAATAAGAGCCCCCGCAGACTGTTCAGTTCTCTGCCCTGTGCACCCCCCACCCCACATACTTCCATATTCCCAGTTGGAGGTCACCTCACCTCCCAATCCTCAGAGTATAAAGCACTCTTCCCTGTGCACTCCCTCACTCTCATTTACTTCCCCATTCCCACTTTCAGGTCACTTCCCCATCTCCAAAGTATAATACCCTGCCCTGTGCTGTCTGAAACTAAAATGGCATTTTAGTCAAAAGACCATGATTTAAAACAAAATCGAAATTTGACATCAAAATTAACAGTGGTCAATAAGGATGAAAAAAACTGGGTCTTCTTGTAACCATACTTCAAGATTGCAATACAAAAGTGCCAACAATCCTCTACAGGTTTTTCCTGTTTGAAGTTTGGATGGTAGTTAGTTGTTTTGTTTGTTTTTTCGTTCAGCTGTGGGCTGAAAGAAAAATACTAACAGATTCCTTCATGCACACCAATGAGGTGCCCCCCCACTACTGTCAGAAAACACTGATCAGCAGCTGCTATTTGAGGAACATTTTTCAACATGTCCCTTTTACAGAAGAGTCTATCAGGGACAGCCATACACTAATTGAAATTCGGCCAGTTCAGCAGGAATTTCGATCAGTGTGTGGCCAGATATATTTCTGGTACATACTTTAGAAAATGAATTTCTGTCAAAGTGGCAGGGCCTCAATATGATCAGAGAGAAAATCAGTGATGTCAGCTACCAGTCAGGAAAGAGAAAGCCCTATCAAATATACACATGTTACCTAATATGAAAGCAATCTTAAAGCAGAAAGCAACCCAAAAGTATCATTACTGAAAGGTATACCAAATGCTAAGCTTACTATACACTGATCAGAATTCAGCCAGATTCCGTATTTCAATTAGTGTGTGGTTGTCCCTGCTCAACAGAAGTCAGTTGTTTGATTGATCGAAGAGACAATCTGGAAAACTTATCTCCTTCAGCAGCTACAGCCAATCAGCTGCAGTGGGTACCGTTTATGTGGATGGAGAAGTCTATTATTTTGGGTGTTTTTTTTGCTCAGCCCTCTGGTTGAATGAAAAAAAAATAACTAACCACCTCTGGCCAGCTTTAGGATGTTGAAGACTCTGCCTGTCTGACTCAGGTGATGAAAGAGTTCTTGCAGAAAAAAAACAGGTATGTTCAGAATTACCTGGATGCAGTAACATAATTTACCAATACATTGTGAATAAGCCTCACATCAAAGAAAAGATAAAACCCTCTCCGGTACCCAGGTACCTGAAGCACAAAGAACAGCCATTTCAGTAGATGTACAAAAAATTAATTTGTATATATATATATATATGCACATACTGTGTGTTTGTGTATCTATCAACACATTAAAGCAGGAAAATTAGAAGTATGACATGTCCTTATATGCATATATATTTTCTTGGTCTTTGATCAACGAATGTAAGCCAGGGTCAGCATAGGAGCCATGCATTTTCAGAAAGAGAAGTCAGTTTGTTTATCACGCAGGTTTAAATGCATTTATAAGAAAAAAAAAGTTCTATTTTTTTACTGCTAATAGTATATTACAGCTTTAGAGCTACTTTAAAGCTATATATTAGTTTTTACAAGCAAGATAATAGATCAGCTTTACTGTGGTATATATATACTTGATGTGGGTAGAAATGCAAATTTATAATTAGATTGTACATCCCTTGAGGGTTGGGAACTGATGTGAATGCACAGTATACAGTCAGGTCCATAAATATTGGGACATCGACACAATTCTAACATTTTTGGCTCTATACACCACCACAATGGATTTAAATGAAACAAACAAGATGTGCTTTAACTGCAGACTGTCAGCTTTAATTTAAGGGTATTTACATCCAAATCAGGTGAACGGTGTAGGAATTACAACAGTTTGCATATGTGCCTCCCACTTGTTAAGGGACCAAAAGTAATGGGACAATTGGCTTCTCAGCTGTTCCATGGCCAGGTATGTGTTATTCACTCATTATCCCAATTACAATGAGCAGATAAAAGGTCCAGAGTTCATTTCAAGTGTGCTATTTGCATTTGGAATCTGTTTCTGTCAACTCTCAAGATGAGATCCAAAGAGCTGTCACTATCAGTGAAACAAGCCATCATTAGGCTGAAAAAACAAAACAAACCCATCAGAGAGATAGCAAAAACATTAGGCGTGGCCAAAACAACTGTTTGGAACATTCTTAAAAAGAAGGAACGCACCGGTGAGCTCAGCAACACCAAAAGACCCGGAAGACCACGGAAAACAACTGTGGTGGATGACTGAATAATTCTTTCCCTGGTGAAGAAAACACCCTTCACAACAGTTGGCCAGATCAAGAACACTCTCCAGGAGGTAGGTGTATGTGTGTCAAAGTCAACAATCAAGAGAAGACTTCACCAGAGTGAATACAGAGGGTTCACCACAAGATGTAAACCATTGGTGAGCCTCAAAAACAGGAAGGCCAGATTAGAGTTTGCCAAACGACATGTAAAAAAGCCTTCACAGTTCTGGAACAACATCCTATGGACAGATGAGACCAAGATCAACTTGTACCAGAGTGATGGGAAGAGAAGAGTATGGAGAAGGAAAGGAACTGCTCATGATCCTAAGCATACCACCTCATCAGTGAAGCATGGTGGTTGTAGTGTCATGGCTTGGGCATGTATGGCTGCCAATGGAACTGGTTCTCTTGTATTTATTGATGATGTGACTGCTGACAAAAGCAGCAGGATGAATTCTGAAGTGTTTCGGGCAATATTATCTGCTCATATTCAGCCAAATGCTTCACAACTCATTGGACGCCGCTTCACAGTGCAGATGGACAATGACCCAAAGCATACTGCAAAAGCAACCAAAGAGTTTAAGGGAAAGAAGTGGAATGTTATGCAATGGCCAAGTCAATCACCTGACCTGAATCCGATTGAGCATGTATTTCACTTGCTGAAGACAAAACTGAAGGGAAAATGCCCCAAGAACAAGCAGGAACTGAAGACAGTTGCAGTAGAGGCCTGGCAGAGCATCACCAGGGATGAAACCCAGCATCTGGTGATGTCTATGCGTTCCAGACTTCAGGCTGTAATTGACTGCCAAGGATTTACAACCAAGTATTAAAAAATGAAAGTTTGAATTATGATTATTATTCTGTCCCATTACTTTTGGTCCCTTAATAAGTGGGAGGCACATATGCAAACTGTTGTAATTCCTACACCGTTCACCTGATTTGGATGTAAATACCCTAAAATTAAAGCTGACAGTCTGCAGTTAAAGCACATCTTGTTCGTTTTATTTAAAATCCATTGTGGTGGTGTATAGAGCCAAAAATGTTAAAATTGTGTCGATGTCCCAATATTTATGGACCTGACTGTATGTATGTAAAGCGCTGCGTAAAATTGACGGCGCTATATAAGTACCTGTAATAAATAAATAATAATAATTGTACTCACCGGGCATGAGGCAACCTCTCCCGAAAGCCCTCAGTGCAGCAGATGACCAGGAGCGGGCTGACACAGCTGTGAGCATAGCCCAGGCAAATAGCAGCTTGATTGAGGTAGAAGGTAGAGATTGAAGGAGGCCCACTGGAGAAAAGATTGACAAGCTGCACTGCATGGAAGGGAGCCCAGCAAAATAGGAATGCAGCCACAATAGCCAGAGCCATCCTGGTGACTCTGCGACTGCGCTGAGACGGAGCCCTTTGAACTCTTCTCATAACTCTAGAAAGGTGATGAAGGGTGAGGGAATACAACACTACAATGACTGACAATGGCAAGAGGAAAGTCAAGAGACTGTGCATTAATGTGTACCAATATAGCGATGGAGGAGCTCCAGGAAGATCCAGGACACAGAGAGCCACTCCATCTCCCCATTGCACTCCAGAGTAGAGGAGGACCGGTGTGCTGAGGAGGAGTGAGCATACCCAAACACAACCAGTTACTATCCACGTACAGCGCACACTCCTCCGCTGGCCCATGGTTGCTGAGTGCACCACTGCCACGTATCTGCCAAGAGACCAGAAAAAACATAATTCTGTTACAAATATTTAATGTTATCGGTTTACATTCTTATACCATTACTCATTAATTTTCCACTAATGTTTTCATACCTGATATACTTGATGGGTACAAATGAAAACATATCCCCTGGATTTTACTTTCTCCCCTTTTTTCTTATCAAAATAGGTATCAAATCTATACTGACACACACATTAACGCAATTTTATGCTAATCCGAGAAAAGAAAACTAATTTACAGAGATAAGAGAATAATACCACAATGAAAGATGATGCAATTGGGGTTCAGCTTTAATTTAGAGTTTAAAACCAGTGAATGCATATCTAAACCCAAAAACATTACTAGATTGAAGTATTCCAGTGCTTAGATGATGTGAATGTTTTATTTGTTAGATGTTTTATTATTTTATTTGTTGTTAGATGTTTAATTTTTTTTCCTTTATTTTTTGTGCTAATCCTATAAATACCATACTCTCTGGATTTCAAACCTGTCTGTCTATGTTGATCTCCATTACACGTGGGGTGATAGGATTAATAGTTTACCCAAGATTTATTTCCACTTCATCTCACAAGAAATGACAAGGATGCATGTCCAGCAAGATCAATACATATTTTCTGTGCTTGCTAACTATGTTCTTGAAAACGTATACAGTCACCACATCTAAGCACAGGCTTTAAATTAATAATATTTGTGTTCTTGGGTTTAGTTATACTTTAAATGTTCAACCCCACCTTAGTGAGCCATTCGCTGAAACACAGTTTTGAAGTTGATCAGTTTCATGTGATTTTATCAGTGATCTTTGTTCCTTAGGGTTGCTACAGGATCTGGAAGTACAACCTGAGAATTGTACAATGAAATATTGAAAATACAGGGACCCAAACCATACGTTTTTAAAGTGTTACTAAACCCAGGACCCGGCATTCAGTATATCCGGTCTCCCGCAGTACACAGAATATGAAAATTATTAGTTAATAATTATTTTAGTAAATATACACTGCTAAATACCTTTTCTCATCAGCAGTATATAGCAGTCTTGTGACTTCATTCAGTGTCCAGCTGAGAATTGGTTAATCTTGTAGGAAAAAGTTTTCATTCTGCTCTGACTGTCCTATGAGGCTGCATAACACCTGACCCTCTGTCTGGACAGTGCTGATTGGCTCTGTGCTGATCACATGCACACTCTCAAAGAAAACAAAAACCTCTCTAGCAATACACACTAAACTGAGCATGTGCAGAGTAACTCCTAGAGCTCTGTAATATCAGCAGATGGAATGGGGACTGTAGAAGGGGAGGATTAGAGAAGACACGATCAAACAGCCTTTTTACACAATGCAGAGGATTAACCCCTTAGGTTCCACAGTGAGTATAACAAGCATGCTTTACTGCATATACAGAGAAATTTACAGATGAATTGGGGACAGTAGAAGACGGAGAGGATCAGAGAAGACAGGATCAAACAGCCTTTTTACACAATGCGGAGGATTAACCCCTTAGGTTTCACAGTGAGTATAACAAGCATGCTTTACTACATATACAGAGAAATTTTACTACTGTTGGTTTAGTAACACTTTAGGTCAAAGCAATGTACAAAATGTGGTTACCCATAGAAGCCCACCAGGCTCCATGTATAACTTAAAGCGGAACTACACTACATCTGAGCACCACAAACCAAAAGCATTATTTAATTCACTTTTAATATTCAAAGCAAACTCAGCCTTCCATGTCTCAATGCTTTATTTTGCTGAGAAATCACCTCTTGCATTTCTGTCCACGTGCATCTTGAATTAGGTCAGAAGACTCGTGGCATTTACTTCCTGAAATCTATCTGCCCTTAGCTCAGGAAAGCAAGCAGTAGGGTGTGCTTAGCTGAGAAAATCCCTCCTGAAGACTTCTGAGATGTATGACATCATTTACCTAGGGCTGGAAACCAGGAAGTAACTGAAGAAATGTAAAAGGAATGTTTAAAACAAGCAAATATGATATACTTTCCTATTTACAATGCTAGCAGCATAACAATTAAAAATAGTTCATGTGGATTGAAAGAGTGAAGTCCAACTTTAAATCTCATATTTGAGGAGCCAGAAGGAAATGTTGCACAGGAACTTAAAAGAATATTTGCACCATTATTTTTCAAACAGTTATAGAAAAGTAAAACTAAATGTACTTCATTATTTAGTATGCTTCCCATTTTAAAAACTCATTGCTTGAGTACTTCATCGTTGTCACCAATGAAATGTCCTTGGTAGACCTCCAAGAACTTTGTTACCTTTTCCCACATTTTATACTGCAATCATATAGGTCACCCCCATTGTTAGTGTCTCCCTCTCCTTCATTTCTTTGTTTCTAGGGCAACTAAGAGTCTCTGCCATTTCCTCAGTACCTTATATTATAGGAGGTTGTATATTGCTCTTCATATAAAGGGCATTGTCTCCTCCTTCCCTTGCAAATAAAGTGTAAACCAGATCGTTCCCCAATTTTAGTTATGTCATGACTCAGAAGGAACCACAGGCTTCAAATTATCCCTTATCCACAGGGGTTCTATTTCTAGAATTCATTCTGTGCATCACAAACATATGGACAGACAGCCTAAAGTGGTTTTTAAAGGCTGAAGGTTTTTTACCTTTATGCATTCTATGCACGAAGGTAAAAAACCTTCTGTGTGCAGCAGCTCCCTAAGCCCCTCAATACTTACCTGAGCCGCATCGCGATCCAGTGATGTGAATGACAGCCTAGGGTCTCTTCCTCCTCATTGGCTGAGACAGCCAGTGGGAGCCATTGGCTTTAAAAGAGAATCACTTTAACCATTTGATGCCTGGCCAATAGCCGTATGGCGTCCAGAAAAAATGCACTAGCTTTCCGGGAGGCCGCCATTTGGCATACTCCCACACATGCGCAGTTCGCGCGATTGCAGACCCGCGCAGCGGCGCGATCTGTCACCGGCCGTGTACCTCGGACACGGCCGATAACAGATCTGAGTATCGGCCCCGTTGCCGGTACCATGTGACCAATCACAGCAGGTCACATGACAGTTGTATACAATGGATGGCTTCATTCATGCCATCCATTGTATACTAGTGTCTAGCTGTGAATGGTCACAGCTAATCACATGCACATGTCATGTGATTAGCTGTGGCCAAATCACAGCTAAGCACAAAAAAAAAAAAAAAAAAAAAAAACCCTGAATGAATCAATGTCATTCAGGTAAATGCTTGCTTATAGCAAAGTAATTCTTTGCTATAAGCAAATTGTGTAAAAAAAAATATATATATATATACTGATCACTTCCCCAAAGTAGTACAATGTTACTATGGTAACATTGTACTACTTTGGACATAGTGAAATATGAAAAACAAAATCTTAAAAAAAAGAAAAAAAATTTAATAAAAAAGTTAAAATAATAAAAAAAATTTAAAAAAAAATATGTTTTTTTTTTTTTTCACACTGTCACCAGTCAGTGTCCCTGATCACCGCCATGCCGGTTATATGATGACGCTGTACTGCACTGGTGACAGTATGTAAAAAACAAATAGTGAAAATAATTTTTTTTTATTTTTTCATTTTCCGAAAAATTATGACAAAAAAAATACAACTTCAAAAAACTCGCCATGCCTCTTATGAAGTACGTCGGACTGTCTACTTTGCAAAAAGGGGTCATTTGGGGGACATCTGTACTATTCTGACATTCTTGGACCTCAAGAAATTAGATTGGCTGTCAGTACTTCAGGATTGATCAATATTCAGATCTATACCATAGTTTGTGAACCCTATAACTTTCCTACAAACTAAAAAATACATCCTAATTTGGGTTATTTTCACCAAAGACATGTAGTAGAATACATCTCGGCCTAAATTTATGAAGAACAATTATTTATTTGCAAACTTTGATAACAGAAACAAAGAAAAAATGTGTTTTTTTTCAAAATTTTCGGTCTTATTTTGTTAATTTAGCAAAAAACAAAAACCCTGGCGATGATTAAATACCACCAAAAGAAAGCTCTAGTTGTGTGAAGAAAATGATAAAATTTTAGTTTGGGTACAGTGTTGTATGACCGCGCAATTGTCATTCAAAGTGTGAGAGCGCTGAAACCTGAAAAATGGCCTGAGCAGGAAGGTGTAAAATTGCCCGGTATTGAATTGGTTAAAAGAGAAGTGCGGGATCCAAAAAAACAAACATACATACTCACCTAGATGGCTGCAGCATTGATCCAGGCTGCAGCTGTCCCCCGCCACTTCTACACAGAGAACTGAGTGATCAGAGACTACTGACTTTAGTCCTACATTGTCTGAATCTGGGTCACAGGAGTGCAGAAAAAAAGTGTACTCCTGTGACCCACAGGAGAAGTATGGCCTAAAAAGCTTTGTTCATACTTCTCCTGTAAGGAAACTCTAAGCCTAAAATATAAAAGCCTAAAAAGTTATGTTCCTGAATAAAATATACCATTGGCATTTATTAACATGTATTTTAAACTTCACTAGCTTTTCAAAATCAAAGTTATTTAAAATTCATTTTTTTACATGTGAATAGCACATTTTACATGATGTCATTAAAGGACACTGCAGTTCCTTTGTATCAAATCTGACAGAAAATAAAGAATAACAGCCTTTGCTTTTTGATTTAGCAAATGTATACACAATACAATTTCTACCACCCTATAATGTTCAAAGGCAGCCATTATGGTTTAAACAAAGGATCTGCAACTAGTAGTTCAAGTGCCACATGTAACTGTCAGCTGCCTTTGTTTTTTACTGTTGCTCTATATTTGCATTGTATATTTAAACACTTGGCAAACAGCATCTGTTTAAACTAGGAGTGCTTTGCTCAGGAGTATATAGTTTACAATGTAGCTCAATGCACAGTGTACAGATGACAGAAGTGTGGAAGGGGGAAGGGGGGAGGGGTCAGAAATATGTAAGGCACAATCTGCAGAGGTCAGGAGTATGTAAGGCACACAGAAGGAGTCGGGTATGTATGGCACAGAGTGCATGGGTCAGGAGTATGTAAGGCACAGAGTGCAGGGGTCAGAGGTATGTACGGCACAGTGTTCAGGAGTATGTAAGTCACAGAGAAGGAGTCAAGGATATGTATGGCACAGAGTGCATGGGTCAGGAGTATGTAAGGCACAGAGTGCAGGGGTCAGAGGTATGTATGGCACAGTGTGCAGGAGTATGTAAGTCACAGAGAAGGAGTCAAGGGTATGTATGGCACAGTGTGCAGGAGTATGTAAGTCACAGAGAAGGAGTCAAGGGTATGTATGGCACAGTGTGCAGGAGTATGTAAGTCACAGAGAAGGAGTCAAGGGTATGTATGGCACAGAGTGCAGGGGTTAGGAGCATGTAAGACACAAAGTGAATGGGTCAAGAGTATGTAAAGTACAGAGTCACAAGTATGTAAGGCATAGTGTGCAGAGGAAGGAGTATGTAAGGCACATTGTTCAGGGTTCAGAGGTATGTAAGGCACAGTGTGCAGGGGGCAGTAGTATGTAAGGCACAGTGTGCAGGGGTCTGAGGTATGTAAGGCACAGTATACAGGGGGCAAGAGTTTGTAAGGCACAGTGTGCAGGGATCAAAGGTATGTAGGCTACAGAGCGCAGTAGTCAGACACAGAGTTCTGGGGTCAGGAGTGTGTAAGGCACAAATTTCAGGGGTCTTGACTATGTAAGGCACAGATAGCAGGGGTCTTGAGTATGTAAGGTGCAGGCTGCAGGGGTCAGGAGTATGTAATTCACAAAGCTCAGAGGGTCAGAGTGCATAATGAACAGAGCGCAGGAGTCAGGAGTAAGTAAAGCACAAAGCACAGGGGTAAAAAAAAGGAAACATACAGGATGCAGGGGTAAAATTAGGTAACAGCTAGAACACAGTAGTCAGACAATTTCTTTCTCCAAGAAAAAAATCCCCTCTTCCATCCCCCAGGATAAAAGGGCCCCCAGCATAAATTCCCCACTCCTTCCCTGAAATGTATTCACCTTGACAGTGCTTTACATCTGTTGATGATTCCCCCAGGTCCTAGGGCTGCAGCGTCCTGCATTTTCTTCTCTTAATTTGTATGCTCCTGCAGCTGCTTCCAGTGTCAACAGGGTATTATTTTCACTGACTTCTTCCACTTATCAACAATATATAGGGACTCTTCATTTTCCACTGACCACTAAGGTATGAGAGCACATATCTCACTGGAAACCAATGTAAAAGGATACTGCAATTCATTTTTCTGGCCATTATTACTGCTAGATAAATTTCATTATTATTGCTCAAAATAACTGTGTCATAAAGAAGTGAAAGGTGTTAAAAATATCTGCTCTGGCCATCACTTATTCTAGGCATATTGCATGTTTTATCCTGTTATTTTTTACTATATATCTACAACATGCTTAGCCTGCAATTATATTGTGAACTGTAGAGATAATTATTATAGCAAGGGTTCCCTGAAACCTGAAAATTATTTCAAGGGTTCCCTGTGGTAAAAAAAAAGGTTGAGAAAGGTTGAAACTACTAGCAGATGGCAGGTTACTAACCTTAACATTACTCTATGTATACTTCCATAGCTATTTTGTACTGTGGCTTTCAGCCACTTATTTTATTGGAAAAGCTGGCAAAGGTGAACCTTGAGTTTAGACTAATAGATTTGAATGCAAACCATCATCCTACTCAAAGCACATGAAATTATGAGGAACTTAAAAAGCTAAAAAGCTGCTCAATTCAAAAGATTGCTTCTGGAATAGCAGGAAATACCTTTTTTTTTCTAGCTGTGAATGGAAAGTCAAAGTGGGATGAAACCCTTTGGTTTAACGGTTTCCTAAAATAGTTACATGCAAGGCATGCCATGCATGATAACTGTCAGTTGTTTGTGCTCTCAACTGAACTGTCAAACTTTAAATGGCTGGTGTCATAACTGATCACTTGTGCAGCACCATGGCAGATAAAACAGAAGCAAATTCTAGCTGTGAATGAAAAGTCAAAGTGGAATAAAACCCTTTGGTTTAACTGTTTCCTAAAATAGTTACATGCAAGGCATGCCGTACATGATAACTGTCACAGTTGTTTGTGCTCTCAACTGAACTGTCAAACTTTAAATGGCTGGTGTCATAACTGTTCACTTATACAGCACAATGGCAGATAAAAACAGAGGCTAAGATGACAACCTACTTGGCTGTAAAGTTAGGCATTAAAACATCGTCCCCACTGTTAATGTTTTAGGAGGACAGCCTCAATATCCACCCATCCAATATTGGATGCAGTCAGATTTGGGGTTCGCATGCTTGAACAAAATAATTTGTTGTCTGTTAAGTGATATGTTGTATATAATTTAAAATGGTATCTTTAGACAACACAGGAAACCTTTTAAAGCACATTTGCCTATGTGAGACGATTATGACAAATGACCACAAACACATACAGTGAGGAACAGAAATATTTGAACACCCTGCGATTTTTTCTCCCACTTCGAAATCATGGAGGGGTCTGAAATTCACATTGTAGGTGCATTCCTACTCTGAGAGAAACAAATTCAGGAAATCACATTGTATGATTTTTAAAGAATTTATTTGTCTTGCACTGCTGAACATAAGTATTTGAACACCTAAGAAACAGCAAGAATTCTGGCTCTCAAAGACCTGTTACTGTGCCTTTAAAAAGTCCACCTCTACTCCACTCATTAATCTAACTTAGTAGCACCTGTCTGAGCACTTTAAAGACACCTGTCCACCCCACAGTCAGTCAGACACCAACTACTACCATGGGTAAGACCAAAGAGCTGTCAAGAGACACCAGAGACAAAATTGTGGACCTCCACAAGGCTGAAAAGGGCTACGGGGCAATTGCCAAGCAGCCTGGTGAAAATAGATCAACTGTTGGAGCAATTGTTAGAAAATGGAAGAGGCTAAAGACGACTCTCAGTCTCCCTCGGACTGGGGCTCCATGCAAGATCTCACCTCGTGGGGTATCACTGATGATAAGAAAGGTGAGGAATTAGCCCAGAACTACAAGGGAGGAGCTGGTCAATGACATGAAGAGAGCTGGGACCACAGTTTCAAAGGTCACTGTCGGTAGAACACTACGCCATCATGGTTTCAAATCATGCATTGCACGGAAGGTTCCCTGCTCAAGTCATCACATGTCCAGGCCCATCTGAAGTTTGCCAATGACCATCTGGATGATCCAGAGGAGGCATGGGAGAAAGTCATGTGGTCAGATGAGACCAAAATAGAACTTTTTGGTCTAAACTTCACTCATCGTGTTTGGAGGAAAAAGAAGGATGAGTTGCATCCCAAGAACACCATCCCTACTTTGAAGCATGGGGGTGGTAACATCATGCTTTGGGGGTGCTTTTCTGCGAAGGGGACAGGACGACTGCACTGTATTAAGGAGAGGATGAATGGGGCCATTTATTGTGAGATTTTGAGCAACAACCTCCTTCCCTTAGTCAGAGCATTGAAGATGGGTCGTGGCTGGGTCTTCCAACATGACAACGACCCAAAGCACACAGCCAGGATAACCAAGGAGTGGCTCCATAAGAAGCATATCAAGGTTCTGGAGTGGCCTAGCCAGTCTCCAGACCTAAATCCAATAGAACATCTTTGGAGGGAGCTGAAACTCTGTGTTGCTCAGTGACAGCCCCGAAACCTGACAGATCTAGAGGAGATCTGTGTGGAGGAGTGGGCCAAAATCCCTGTTGCAGTGTGTGCAAACCTGGTCAAGAACTACAGGAAACATTTGACCTCTGTAATTGCAAACAAAGGCTTCTGTACCAAATATTAACACTGATTTTCTCAGGTGTTCAAATACTTATGTTCAGCAGTGCAAGACAAATAAATTCTTTAAAAATCATACAAATTGATTTCCTGAATTTTGTTTTTAAATTCTGTCTCTCAGAGTGGGAATACACCTACAATGTGAATTTCAGACCCCTCCATGATTTCTAAGTGGGAGAACTTACAAAATCGCAGGGTGTTCAAATACTTCTGTTCCTCACTGTACAAGGTCTTTCTACTGTTGGAAGAGCTTTAAGATAAAGTCATTCTGCAGCAACAAAGTCTCCTGCCCACAACTGACCTCCAGTGCCAGTAAGAGTTTACCTTCTGTGTCTGAAAGAAGAAATGACTGTACTGCATATGGGTCCCAATCAGATTTCCTTTTCATTCTTTCATTGCAGGTGAGAAAATAAATGGATGCAATGAAAAGCACAGATAGTTCTACTCTGAGACACATAAAAAAGAAAACTAATTTTACCCATGCTTCCTTTCTCTTTGTAGGAGTTCCATAGTCCATTTTGTGCCACAGCTCAACTTACTGCCAGTAAACCTAAGTCCTGGGGTTATGAAACCTCAGGACACCAGATCTCTGTAGGCTTCCTTTCCATGTAAACAAAATACCTTGCTTGTTTTTCTCAATTACCTGTCCACACAGAGAGCAGTGATGATGCCAACACCTGTGATCTGGTTGTTAAGGTCCAGGGCAGTCACAGCACGGCACAGGATGTCTCCAAAAACCCAGCCTCTGTCATGGAGAAGTTGATGGATAAGAAGGGGCATCCCAAGCAAAGAGAGTAGGTCAGCCAGGGCCAAGTTCACCACATACAGGTCAGACACCAGAGTGTGTCGGCAGCTGAGCAGCACTGCTAGGACCAGTCCATTGCACAGTACCCCACAGCCACAGATTATCCCATACACTACCCCCCACCCAGGACCTCGTAGAGACATAACACCAGAGGCAGGGGGTAGGGTTGTAGGCATCCAAGGAAGTGAAGGTGTCATGCTCTCAGGAATAGCTTCTTTGAAAACTATGGGGTTTACCTGGTCTTAACAGATGTTTTAAGTTTTTGCCATTGCCTACACGTTTGTTAAAATGTAAGCATATCCTCTGTTGTGGCACAGTCTGTCCCATGTGACTGTTACTTGTAGTGTATTTGCTTTATGAGACTTAAGCCTCTTTTGACTGTAGCACTATAAGCATACATACATACAGAGTGAGCCCCTCATTCTCATTGAATTCCACTGCCTACTCTCTACAGTAGTCTCTGATTGTACATTTCCACAGGTTCAGGTTCATTCTGTTCTCACTTTCCCATCATTGTGGCAGCCCTAAAAAAGAAATAAAGGAGACAGATAGATGGTTAATGACCTCACTCCCACGCAGAGACATGACACCTGTATGAGTCTGCACCATTGCCTACCCACAGATCAGCACACTCTACCGTATACACTAGCATACACATAGTCATACCATACAGTATATATATGCTCACTTTATAGCCAGACACAATCTGTAGTGATAAGAGGCTACTGATGCTGCAAGCCCAATATAATGCCTACACACATCTGGGTACATTCAATATTAGACATACATAGTCATTGCTCATACAAGCTGGCTTTATGTTCATAACCACTTTCCAGAAACCAGTGGCATTTCACAGGCAATGCTAATCCAGTCAATGCAGCTGTACTGCATTACCACAAAGCGTATCATTAATATACTGCAGTATAGTGCTTGTCTGCTTGGCTATAAAACAGGCATACAAAGCTAGTTTGAACAGAAAGCAAAATATAGGTGCTGTCATACATCAAAATTACATCATTAATTTACATATTTGTGCTATACACATGAAATACTCTCCTTTTATATTCTGCTCAATCACTAATACTGTCTCATTAAAACAGATGCAATAATACACAGATGGTTCTCTATGACTTACCTGCTGTATAGCTGCCTCAGTGAATGTGTCTGCATTTAAGTATGTGACAAGGACAAGATCTGTGCTCCAATTACCTGTGACTTGTTGCTTGGTATTGCAGGGAAAGCGGAAAGGAGAGAGAAGGCTAATAGGTAAGAAATGGGCATTCTAATCTACTTATATCTACCCCTCTGTATGTCTCTCTCCCCTCCCTCTTCTAATAAACCCTCTCTCTTTCCTGCTTTTCATGATCCCCTCTCTTTCATTCTGTTTGTGTTCATTGTGTTATGTCTCTCCTCCCCCTACTTTCTACTTGTACTTGTCCATTCTCAGATTCAGCTGGTCGTTTACACTCTCCCTCTTTTCACAGAGCTTTCTATTCTTCCTCTATTCTGCTCTATACCTCTCTCATAGTCATCCTTCTCAGTTATGCTCTGTTTTGATCCCCTCTGTTTCCTTTCTCTTTGACATCGTTCATGTAGGTCCATTAGCTAACCCTCCCCTATTCTATACACACTCAGATTCCTTATTAAGTGCAGTTGTTTCATCTTCTCTGCAAATGCCTCCATCCAGATGTGCTGTTGTTCTGCATCAAAAATTGCTGAAAAAATTATATGTACTTTTTGCTATAATGTAGCATGCATGAGATGAGAAAGGTATTGTGGGCTTTTATTATGATGGGATAGATCTTAAATCCAGGGGAAAGAAAATTTAAAGTTGCAGTCCATCCAAAACTAAAATGCCATTAAACTGACTCACTGGCTACTTATATGCTTTCAAAACTCCAATGAAAGCTCATCTTCATACAAATAAGTCTCATGTTTCCTATTAGTTTTGTGCAATAAAAAGTGCAACAGGACAGTAAAGCTTGGCTATACATTGGTAGATTTTTGTACAAACATTCATACAACAAATCTCATCTGTACATTTGATAATGCCATCAGAGACTTGTGAAAAGTCATTTGGTAGTACTTAAAAATTTTACATTTTGAACCATCTCCGTGGAAGTAATGTACGAGTGATCAGTTTACACAAGGGTGCGGAGAGTAGATGTCTGGAGATCTTCACTGAATCCTTGTTTAAAGATCTTCTAAACCTCACTGATGTCTACTCAACATATGTGGTGGAGTGTTGATATTTGGAGGAGGATACATCTTGGGGAAAAGCAGTGTTCCTGTTTCTCTTCTACTCATGTCTCAGCATCCCACAAAGATTTAGCCTTTGCGTGTCTCATTATTCTTTCACAGATTACTGCAGCCACATTTCTCTTAAATGGTATTTCAGACCATGCCCCATTGTAGCTTTTCTTTACTGTTGGTAATGATGCTTGCCTTTAAAAGTGAGATTCAGATGACCCCTACAGAGATACTCCAGGTCTTTTTAACCTATTACCATTATCCACACATTCTCCTGTATGATGTTTCTACACTGAGAAATAAATTGCAAACCCTACCTATCCTGGTTCGTTCCTCATCAGATAGAACCCTTTTGGAAGACCCTATTACTTTAGATGAGGTTAAAGCCGCTATCCTGTCCTTTTCCAATAATAAGACCCCAGAACTGTATGGAATCCCTATTGATTGGTATGCACTGTGTATACAGTCAGGTCCATAAATATTGGGACATCGACACAATTCTAACATTTTTGGCTCTATACACCACAACAATGGATTTGAAATGAAACGAACAAGATGTGCTTTAACTGCAGACTGTCAGCTTTAATTTGAGGGTATTTACATCCAAATCAGGTGAACGGTGTAGGAATTACAACAGTTTGCATATGTGCCTCCCACTTCTTAAGGGACCAAAAGTAATGGGACAATTGGCTTCTCAGCTGTTCCATGGCCATCTGTGTGTTATTCCCTCATTATCCCAATTGCAATGAGCAGATAAAAGGTCCAGAGTTCATTTCAAGTGTGCTATTTGCATTTGGAATCTGTTGCTGTCAACTCTCAAGATGAGATCCAAAGAGCTGTCAATATCAGTGAAGCAAGCCATCATTAGGCTGAAAAAAACAAAACAAACCCATCAGAGAGATAGAAAAAACATTAGGCGTGGCCAAAACAACTGTTTGGAACATTCTTAAAAAGAAGGAACGCACCTGTGAGCTCAGCAACACCAAAAGACCGGAAGACCACGGAAAACAACTGTGGTGGATGACCGAAGAATTCTTTCCCTGGTGAAGAAAACACCCTTCACAACAGTTGGCCAGATCAAGAACACTCTCCAGGAGGTAGGTGTATGTGTGTCAAAGTCACCAATCAAGAGAAGACTTCACCAGAGTGAATACAGAGGGTTCACCACAAGATGTGAGTCTCAAAAACAGGAAGGCCAATTTAGAGTTTGCCAAATGAATCTAAAAAAGCCTTCACAGTTCTGGAACAACATCCTATGGACAGATGAGACCAAGATCAACTTGTACCAGAGTGATGAGAAGAGAAGAGTATGGAGAAGGAAAGGAACTGCTCATGATCCTAAGCATACCACCTCATCAGTGAAGCATGGTGGTGGTAGTGTCATGGCGTGGGCATGTATGGCTGCCAATGGAACTGGTTCTCTTGTATATATTGATGATGTGACTGCCGACAAAAGCAGCAGGATGAATTCTGAAGTGTTTCGGGCAATATTATCTGCTCATATTCAGCCAAATGCTTCAGAACTCATTGGACGCCGCTTCACAGTGCAGATGGACAATGACCCAAAGCAGACTGCAAAAGCAACCAAAGAGTTTTTTAAGGGAAAGAAGTGGAATGTTCTGCAATGGCCAAGTCAATCGCCTGACCTGAATCCGATTGAGCATGCATTTCACTTGCTGAAGACAAAACTGAAGGGAAAATGCCCCAAGAACAAGCAGGAACTGAAGACAGGTGCAGTAGAGGCCTGGCAGAGCATCTCCAGGGATGAAACCCAGCGTCTGGTGATGTCTATGCATTCCACACTTCAGGCTGTAATTGACTGCAAAGGATTTGCAACCAAGTATTAAAAAGTGAAAGTTTGATTTATGATTATTATTCTGTCCCATTACTTTTGGTACCCTAAGAAGTGGAGACACATATGCAAACTGTTGTAATTCCTACACCGTTCAACTGATTTGGATGTAAATACCCTCAAATTAAAGCTGACAGTCTGCAGTTAAAGCACATCTTGTTCGTTTCATTTCAAATCCATCGTGGTGGTGGTGTATAGAGCCAAAAATGTTAGAATTGTGTTGATGTCCCAATATTTATGGACCTGACTGTATATATATATATATATATATATATATATATATATATATATATATATATATTCTTGCTCCTGCTTGTAGGGATCTTTATGTGGATTTTCATGAGCGGGATACCCTTCCTGACTCCATGTGTGACGGAACGTGGCACCCAACCCCTGCCCTTCTCACCAACTTGTGACAAAGGACCAGCTGATCTCACACCGTGCTGTCACAATGTTGCGTAACAATGCCACTCTCAGCTGCACCCTGCACAAAGATTTTCTAGCTTGCTGGACCACAATCTATGTGCCAGCAGCCTGAGAGCGATTGTTACTGGGTCAAGTTAATTACGAAATTAACCCTTCACACTGCCACCACCACCTTTTTACAGAGAAGGAGGAAACTCACAAATCCTAACAACAACACTATGATATTAGCATAAGCGTCTGTATTACACACTGTCACCACAGACAGGGATATTCAGAGGATTATTACATACAGGAGCACTCTTCAAGAGACAGTGATTCTTTAGTTTGCATTAAAAGCTTTAGAGACAGTTTCAACACTTTTCAAAATAGGATTTATTACTAAAAAGGTTAAAATGGTGCAATTAAAATATTTACAGAAAAAGATGTTACAAAGACATAAAGAGAACAATAAAGCAACAGATAAATAAAAGAAAAGAGTTAAGAAAGCAGAATACTTGCAATGTTCTTGGTTTAAGCAGAGTCCAATTGTCCAAGCAAAAAGATTGCCTTCCCTCTCAAGTCCGTTAGATGTTTCTTGATTGATGTTAAAATGAGAGCTCTCTCCTCCAGGCCTATCAGTCCTTTTCTAGGATATTAAAGGGGTGTCGCCTAAGAACAAATGACCAATCA